ACTGGGAGTGACTGGTGTGGCCTGGGAAGGAAGCGCTCGGGCCTGGGAGGCTGAGTGGTGGTGAGGGAAGTGTTTGCTTTGGGTCTGCCTGGCAACTGGAGCGTCATCAGAGACACGCGCTGGGATTGGCTGAGGGGCGGGAGCTCGGGGGCATCGACGCGTGGAGACGCGGGGGGGCACTGGGAGAGACTGGGATGGACTGGGATGGAGTGGAGGCTCTAGGAGGGGGAAAAGGCCACGGGACGGGCACAGGGAGGGCTGAGTTGTCTGGGGTGATTCCCAGGGAGGGTTTGAGGGGCTCCAGGGTCATTCCCGGGGCAGGGGCCGAGGGGACCCGCTCTGCCCCACGCTCACCTCTGCGGTTCACCAGGAACGGGGTGACGTACTTGTACCAGGCCTGGCAGTACCACTCCACTGCAGACCGTGCGTACTCCAGCCTTTCTGGGAGGCTGTTCCAGTACCTGGCCTGGATCTCCCCATACGGGGTGTCTCCCACATAGACCCCCACATCGCTGTCGAAGTGAGCGTACTGCTCCCGGTTGTAGATGAGCCTCTCGACGAACCTCAACCGGTCGGTGCCATTGATGAAGTAACATTCAGCCTTCATCATCCACTGGGACCCCCCTGTGAGTGCAGGACACGGGTCAGGGGGTGCCATCTCCCCCCCCATCATCCCCCAGCCCCCCACAGCAGGTTGAGAGCTCAGGGGGCCACCCCAGACCCCCCTTTCCCACATTCCTCTGTCCCAGGCTGGCCCAGCACCGGCTCTTGGCTGGGGGGAACCCCCCCATCAGTCCCCCAGGGAGGGACAGGGGGGTTGGGGACCCCCCCACCCAGGATCCGAGCCCCCCAGAGCCCCAGGGAACCGCTCCAGGGCTCAAGGGACACCCAGGGACCCCTATGACACCCCTCTGCCTGCTCTCCCACACCCCCTTTCCCCCTCTCCCACCCCCTTCCCTCCAGTCCCACAATCCCCAGACCCCCCCGACATCCCTTTGGGGCTCCCACACCCCTCCCACTCACTCCGGGACTTCCGACCCCCCTCCCACTCACTTTTGGGGCTCCCACCCCCTCTTTTCTCCCCTCTTGCTCCCCCTTGCCCACCCCACCCCCCTGCCCGCCCCCCCCCGCTCACCCGACAGCTCCTCGCCCGCAGCCGGGGGGGCTCCCAGCACCACCAGCACCGCCAGCACGGCCCCAGCTCCCCGCACACGCTCCATGCCCAGCGCCGGACAGCTGCTGACACCCCAAAACCAGCCGGGCGGCGCCGTTTGGGGGGATTTTGGGAGCGCTCGGATTGGCTGAGGGCGGAGTCCGGCAACCTTTTGTTTCCTTTTCTTGCCGGCGACTGATGAGTCATCAGCGCGGCGCGCTGGGATTGGGCGCGGGCGGCGTGGGCGCTTTGGGATTGGCTGAGGGCCGTTGGGGGCCCCCGCGGCAGCCCCGGGGCCTTTGGGGGGTTCGGGGGGGTCCGTGGGCTGCGGGGGAGGGGGGAGCTCAGGACCCACCAAAAACGCCCAGCCAGGGCTCCCAAAGCTCAGGGCAACCCAAAAAAGAGGATTTTGAACTCCCGGAGCTCAGAGTTGCCCCAAACAAGAGGGAGATGGGGGCTGAGGGTGCCCAATACCCCTTTCCTGGGACTTTTCGTTGTACCCAAACCCCTCTTTTCCAGGACTTTTTGGGGGTCTGGAGCATTTCGGGGGTTTGGTAGTGCCCAAATATCCCTTTGACCAAGATTTTGGGGCTCTGGGGGTGCTCAACACCTGCTGTTCCCAGGATTCTTGGGGTCTGGGGGTGCCCAAACCCCTCCTGTTCACAGGATTTCTGTGCTCTGGGAGTGTCCAAGACCCTCTTTTCCTTTTCTGGGGGATCTAGGAGTGATTCAATCCCCCAGTCCCTGGGATTTTTATGGTCCAGGAGAGCCCATCCTCCCGTGTTCCCAAGATTTTTGGGGTCTGAATGTTTCCAACCCCCCTGTTCCCATGTTTTTTAGATGCTGATGGTGCCCAAACCACTCTATTTTAAGATTTGAGGAACTGGGTGTGACCAAACCCCTCTGTTCGCACAAATTTAGGAGTCTAGGAGTAAATAACACCCTCTTTCCCAGGATTTGGTCGTTCTGGGACATCCCAATTCCCCCTTTTCCTGGTTTACCGGGAGGCTGACATTGCCCAAACGCCCTTTTCCCAGATTTTCATATTTTGGATGTATCCAAACCACCTCTCTCTAGGATTTATAATATCTAGGATGTCCAAACCCCCCCGTTCCCAGCAGTCTTAGGGTATGGGAGTGTCTAAGTCCCTCTTTTCCAATATTTTGGGGTCTGACAGTGCCCCAAACCCTGGTTCGTTGGACTTTTAGGGTCTAGGAGAGTCCATACCCACATGCTCACAAGATTTTCTGGTTCTGATTGTTCCCAGCTCCCCTGTTCCTATGATTTTTGGGGACTGGGAGCGTCCAGACCCCTCATTCCTAGGATTTTTTAGGGTTGCATGTTCCTAAACCACCTTTCTCCAGGATTTTGTAGTTCTGAGAGTGTCCAAAGCCTCCTGTTCCCAGGATTATTGAAGCCCACCCACTTCTCCCCAGTAACCAGGACTGCAGAGCACTAAGAGGCTTTACTGGGAACACTGGGAACAGCTGGTTGGGGTGAGAACAAAAGCAGGGAAGGGGGGCACAGGCGACCCCCCCAAATCAGGGCAGGGTTTGGGGGGTCCCGGCTGGGCCCGAGGCCACAGGGAGGGGCTGCGGCCGCCGGTGGCTCAGGAGCTCTGTGGGGAGAGAAAAGGGGGTGAGAG